ACGTGCGTGACGGTCTCCGCCGTAGAACCAACAACCCTTGGCGCGAAATCTGAGGTCCTTATATACGCTAGAGTCGCGCACACTTAAGCCTAACCCTCGAACTGACGCACATTCCTTCGAATGGAATGTCCCTCGCAACGCTGAGCCCCAACGTTTCAATGTAAACAACCTTTCCCACGGTCTCGACGCATTCTTAGCATTCTTAACATCTATGCATAATACATGTTCAATATTACCTACTGTCAATATTACCTACTTTATTCACTCATCCCAGCCCCGATCCTCATCCCTCACCCCAGTCCCGACCCTCATCCCTCACCCCAGTCCCGACCCTCACCCCTCACCCCAGTCCCGACCCTCACCCCTCACCCCAGTCCCGACCTTCATCCCTCACCCCAGTCCCGATATGAAGCGCATGACGAGGAAGGCAGGGAAGGTCTGCACGACGGAGGACACGAGCCCCGCCACGGCGTTCACCAGCAGCGACACCACCAGCACCCGCCGCCGCCCGTACATGTCCCCCAGCGCCCCCCACACGTAGCCCCCCAGCATCATACCTGTGGGTGGTACGGGTATATAGTGTCCCCCAGCATCATACCTGCGGTTGGTACGGGTATATAGTGTCCTTCAGCATCATACCTGCGGGTGGTACGGACATAAAGTGTCCCCCAAAATCATACCTGCAGGGGTTACGGGTATATAGTGTCACTCAGCGCTCCCACACACGTAGCCCACCAGCATCATACCTGCGGGTGGTACGGGTATATAGTGTCCCCCATACGTAGCCTCCCAGCATCATACCTGAGGGGGGTGAGGACATATAGTGTCCCACAACATCACACCTGTGGAGGGTGCGGACACACAGTACACCCGACAAGCAGAACCGCAGTGCACTCCAGTCAATTCAAACAAATCATTTACAATGATTTAAAATTTTCTCAAGTTTGTTTGCTTGTCACCTCGAGTCTCCTAACTTACCACGTAATGTAAATCAAGCAAAACATTTAGCTAGCAGTAAAATATTGCGATCCACCCAACAAATTGACGGGAGGGAGACGGAAATCTGATACTTCATTCCATGGTCACCGGATAGATTCTTCTCCCAAGCTCAAATTTTTTGTATAAAAGTGAAAGAGTCAGAAGAAAGGGTGAAAGAGTCAGAAGAAAGGGTGAAAGAGTCAGAAGAAAGGGTGAAAAGGGGTCTTAAGGTCTCCTTTTTAAGGGTCTGAAAAGGGTGAGTTTATCGCAAATGTAACAGATGTTGACAACGCAACCAGTCAAGAACGGGAATTACTGGCAGAGCGGTGTCGAAGCAACTGAAAAAACCTGAAAAAGGAGAATCTAGCCAATATTATTAGAGGACTTCTCCACGAAGAAAATGTCACAAGAACGGCATACTCAAAGAAATAACTGAAACAAAAGGAATTTTCATGATTGCCCTAAACGAGTTACCCTCAAGGAAGGAGATCCAGAAATGTGTAATGATGAATTGCTAGTGATGAAATGTGTAATGATGAATGGCTGTAGTGATGAAATGTGTAATGATGAATTGCTAGTGATGAAATGTCTAATGGCGAATTGCTACAGTGATGAAAAGAATCAATGATAAGATGTCTCGGATGATGAGATATCAGGGAACCCCGAAACACACGAGGATAGTGCATATTTTATAAAAATATTTAGTCAGGATGCCCCACTTCGATGAGTCAACCGCGTCCAAATATCGCTGCATTTCTTTCACGCACTTGCCTCATTTGTGGGTTATACTGACCTATTACTGGCCCTTAAAATTTCAGGTATAACTCACTTGTGGCGTTTAATTTATTTGAAGCCACAAGTGATCATAAGTGAAATAAGGAAGCGCACTACTGAACAGGTCGCCACGTGCGGAACAAAGTTTGAAATTCAAAGGCGGGACACAATCGATAAGGAACCTCACAGTTAAACCTGTATGCCTGCAGTAACAATGTAAGCTGCATTTTTCTAACTACATAACAACATAGCATATAATAGCTAACTATTTATCATTATAAACTTCACTAAAAAAACGAATGAGTCATATTGTAAAAAACATACTGAAAGACTTCCTTACCCAGCAATAGGTGGAAGATAGCACAGATACACCCATTTCCCGGACCAAACTGAGTACGAATGACCTACACTATTTATGCATTTGCATCACTTTCTGAACCAATTTTCACACGCATTATTCTCTTAATTAATATAATTAATAGACTGACCGAAAAAGACCATGGCGTTGAGCCAGCCCTTGTCCTGCGACGACATGTGAAGTATGACCTACACTGAGGTCGTACACTGAGTACGAATGACCTACACAGTAAGGCTACACTATATGCATTTGCATTAAGTGCATCACCTTTTGTACCAATTTTCACACGCATTATTCTCTTAATTAATAAATAGACTGACCGAAAAAGACCATGGCGTTGAGCCAGCCCTTGTCCTGCGAAGACATATGAAGGTCGCACTGCGCGGCAGGCAGCAGCAGCGACACGCACAGCAGCTCGATGGCATCGCTGGCGTTGGCAAGACCGCCCACCAGCACCACCGTGTAGTGGAACTTGCCGAACCCTGACCGGAAAATACTTCAACTGCACTGTTACGCTATCAAGTGTAACGTTTTCAATGACTTGGTGAAGCTAAACAATTAAAATAAGCACTGTTTTTATCTGCTTCTAATATCATCCTTACGGACCAGGCAATAAGTCCAGTAGCTACGAAGGCAGTGCTAAACGATGTGTTGTTAAGTAATTCAGTCATTGTCGAATATTCCTGTGCTTTTGTAGGATCCAACCTTTCCAAGGCAGTATGTAATTAATTTAAACTCGACTAACACGTGATTAATAACATAGAATTGTATAGCTCAATAGAGATGCTGTTCCTGCTCACCGGTAGCCACCACGGCATCATCGAAGTCAGCTCCTCCTCCATCATCATCATCTGCACGGAATTAACATAAAATATAATTTTTTTACCGTTAATACTACATGTTGAGGCATGCAGCAATACGCTTTAAAATAATTTAGATTGAGGTCTTCAGTAAAAACGAGAGAAGGCTACAGAAAATGTTCAATACGATCTCACCTGGGGCTTTCAGCTCAGGTTTGGAGCGAACTTTTGCGACCTGAGATGCGGCGTCCAGACTACCTCTGCCTACTGAGTCCGTCATGAGTGACACGGTAAGTTTTCACCAATGAACTACCGGACTGTATATCAATTGATACTAAGGAATATATGAAGGAAAATAACGGATAAGGACGACACGATCGAACCATTTCCAGTACGAGAGCCTGCGAATAGTGAGTGCGGATACATCCAGTCAAATCATGTTTGAAACCTGCAATTAATTTAACAAAATCTGTCATCGCGGCGATTGTTTGTTGGCACGCATAGGTCAAGTGGTAGACTGCATGATTACTTATGACTGTGAACTATAGACGACACAACTAATAAAAAAAATCTTATTTTTTGTGACTGTTCCATTTCTATAATTTTTATCTATCTTGATGACTATAAAGAATGGGTGGGCACAGTCTCAAAACAGCCTCGAATGGAAGCAACATTCGCGCATTCAGACGCTGTTTGGTTACTTAGCTGCAGGTCGAGTGTTAATCCATTGTAATGTTAATCCAATAATTCATCAAGTATTAATCCAATAATCCACGTTAATATTACCAATCCATTTCGTGCCATAACTTCACGCGACTTCGCCCGTCACAGGTTTCAATGCAAAAAGCTCGTTCATTAGCGTATATCATATAGTTTTAGATGAGTTTTTTATGTGTTAATTGTTTTACGAGTATATTGCACTATAGTGTATCTGCTGATAGCTGTCAATTTCTCCGCGCTCCATGTTAAACATCTGCGTGATGACGAATACTTATGATGCTAACAAAAACGAGATATAAAAAATGAAACTATCCTTATAACGACATTCTACATGCCAAGTGTTTCCCATAAATCGATATCACTACGAACAATGCTCTTGGTAGTACCAAATTTGCTTCATTGCCGCAGGTTTCGTTTTATTATAAGCTTTCTTCATACACAAAGTTTCGTGCAGGTTGCCTTTGTGTACACCGAACACAGCATAGCAACACGAACAGTGTACGACCACGACTGTTATCAGGATGACGGTTGCGTTTGTAACGATAAACAAAAGTATCACAAACACAGTGTACGACCAGACCGTTATCACGATGACGGTTAAGTTTGTAACGATCGATAAACACAAAAGGATCACAAACAAAGTGTACGACCATGACCGTTATCACGATGACGGTTGTGTTTGTAACGATCGATAAACACAAAAGGATCACAAACACAACGTGTACGACCACGACTGTTATCACGATGACGGTTACGTTTGTAACGATAAACACAAAAGGATCACAAACAAAGTGTACAACCACGACCGTTATCATGATGACGGTTGCGTTTGTAACGGGAAAAAAGTATCACAAACACAACGTACAACCACGACTGTTATCACGATGACGGTAACGATTGTTTGCGATTGTTACACCGAACACCACAGCAGCAACGCGGCACTGTCTCATCACTTTCCAAGTCGGCACTATATACGTACGGCTGAGCAAGTAACAGTGAGAGAAATGAATGTTCCTCCATAACAAATCGGACACTCGTGAAGTGCTTCAAGACGTCGTCTGAGACAGCGACTGACCGGCCTCAGCTATCAGATAGACTCTTAATTGCACGTATCACTATACGCACTGAAAATGTCGCCTAATCTTAACACTTGAAAATACTATACAGGTTCTAGAAGGTAGCATGACCGAGATCAACGTCAACAGTTCTGTGTAACATGTCACTCACTCGAGCAATTGATATGATTACAAGTTTTAGGAGTAATTAGATTAGATGGCTGCAAAGGTTGTTCTAATTAAGAGAAGCTGCTAGAAATGTTACAGTCGCGGCCAAAACTTTTGTTGCGAGTGATATTTTCTGGATTATTCAATTATGAGGTGTAAAATGTAAAATAAAATCAGGAAAAGTCAAATATTTATTTTTTTTTAATATGAACACAAAAGAAAACATTAGCAGGGACGCTATCACAGGCGAAAATTTCTAAATATGGCAAAGTTCCCAAGTTATCAATATTTGCAAAGCTGACCCCAATTACGAAGAAATTCTTCTATTCTCTCAGGTATGCTAGAAATCAAATTCTGGATGATGTTTATATCAAACAAGTTCCATTCAAGCAAAATCAAGTCCTTTATAGAAGTTGGCTTGTGTTTACCTTCTGCTCGAGAATGGCCCATAATTTTTCGATAGTATTCAAATCTGGAAAATTTCCAGGCCATGGAGTCAATTCGTTAATGCCAAGGGGCAATACTTTCAAAATTCGCTAAGTGAACGTAAGTACTTACGCTCTATTTTCTTGTCTATGGTTGGTGGATTTTGCTTGTAAGGTCGTCAATGATTGGCTGATGAGTTTACAATCTCTTAACTTTTTTTTAAAGTATAGGCCAAGATCTTTAAGAAGCTCCAGATCTATAACAAGAAGCTCTAATAGATTCTTCGTTATAGGGGTCAGTACTGCAAATATTGATACGTGGTGAAATTAGCCATGTTTCGAATTTTTCCTGTGGGATTACGTTCTTGTTAATGTTTTTTTTTTTTGCTCAGTTTATAAATTAATATTTGAGGTATGCCGATCTTATTTTAGACCTCATAATTGAATAATCAAAAAAAATATCATTTCCGTCGAAAGTTTTGACCACGATTGTACATTAAGTGTGCATCACGCAGACAACACGTCTGTTGATTGGGCTCTGAATCGCCTCAGGAGACTCACCTTCAGTTATGCTGATAAGTAACTGATTGTGTGACATAATCATATCAATGCAAAGTTACATAACAAAAATGAAAATTCCCGAGCATAAGGACACGCATTATAATAATTATGTTAATGACGGCCTTCATGGTACCTTTACGCAGGACAAATGTTTGAATAAATAGTTCGAAGGAGCAGCTGGGAGTCTAAATAAAAACGATGTTCACTATAACCACCAAGAAGCTTGTATGGAGTGGAGAGCTCACTTTATTCTCAAGCCGAAGCGTCGGGGCGACTCAAAAAGATAATTTATAACGGTCCAGATGAACTCGTTACAACACAAACTGTTTCATAATAATACAAGGTAAGAAATAAAGTGAAAAAATCACCACCAACAATTCAAATTGCGGGCAGTTTTTGTAGGCTACCCAAAAGCAACAGTGTAATTCTCGCAATATCATTGTAACCAGGTGATCCTTTGCTATTTTTTTATGTAAAGTTAGTCATCACTCGTGTAAGTAAAGAATACAATTTTTGAAATGAAACGCCATGCAGTGACGTGCGACAGCCTTGCGTAATGTCATTCTCAATACTCAGAATGAGAACCGGACGGAACGATAGCTCGCAGTAATTGAAATTAAAGTCGGAACGATAAGAAACTATATTTTATCATCTGATCAACTGAATAGATCAAGCAATTAAATGATAACCAGGTAATTAGTTGGAAACAATTGTTGGTATACCGCGCAATGACATGGTGATACAAAAGCTGGGATTGCACTGCCCGTTTCTGGACCCAGCAACTGCACGGCACACGCGATGGTCACACTTGTGCTGCAAGACTCTGGGTCTTAAGTGAGCTCTGGAGGGATATTTGTTCTTCTCGCTGCTTCTACACCTCTTAAAGGAATAAAAACAAACAATAAAACCTTGGCAAGAGGTTAACTATACGTCTTCACATCAATGACCAAAGAAACGTATTTGGAAGCGAGGTAAAACGGTGCAAATTTTCTAGGCATTTAGGTAACACTATAACCTGGAAAGCATGCCATGCTATTGAGGCTAAATTTGAGTGAAAATGAAAGGTGATATGCGGCGATGACAGCGCTGCCACAAGACTTGTATGCGAAATGATCCGGTACAATATATCTCTTACAGGGACAAATTATTATAACATCGATTGAGCTGCAATTCAATCCTATATACGGATGAAAAATGAACTTTCGAAGCAAATTCCTTAAAAAAATTCACATTCCACAACAGCTTATCTGTTGTGTAAATTAAACACGGGAGTACAAATTTACACAGCAAAATTTGACCATTAAATTGGAAGTGGAAAATAGAATTTTACAATGTCATTCAGTCACAGATATGTCGCGAGGTTCGACGGGAATGCGAATGAGGCGGATACTCAAGAGATGGTAAGTAGGCTTAGTCTTGCCATGGAGATCAGCTACTCAGACCAGGAACAGCAAGATTACAGTATGAGAAGACACGGTTGCAACGAGAGAGTAATGATTGAAAAGTCTAGTGTGGAAAAAGATCTCGGAGTTTATGTCGACAANCATTGTTTTTTGTTGCATTGAGATTTAATTTCTTTTGATAGTATTTTTGAATACTATGCGTCTCTATACATAATTTAAATCACTTTTCCTGTTAAGTTTGTGTACTTACATACATTAAAATACGATTTTTCAAGTGTACGAATATTTATTTCCCCCCACTGTACGTATATTTACAATCTGAAGAATATCACTCGCGGTCATTTTTGAAACTAAAAATTAAGCGATAGGAAAATTTTAATTTTATTGTTTAGTAGTGCCAGCAAGTTGACCTAAGGGTCAACATGAAAATGAATGAATGAATGGACCCTTCATGAAAATTGATTGACATTATCAGTATGACCTGAAACACAAGGATATAAGAATGGGATGAAAGGTAAATAATTTTAACATAAAAACCCCCAGACCATATGTGACCTAAAGGTGAGAAGCCCAAGCAAATGATATTATAGCGAATATCTCTAATTCTTAAATATTATCAATACCTACGTATCGACTAGCAGTAGTAAACCCGAGCACGAATATATTTTACTATGAAGTTCTATGCTGAATAAAAACTTGAGAACAATATTGACGACTGTTGCGTCTTTTGTGACCCGAAATACGACAGGGTAAAGAAGTAGACATGAAAGGCAAGCTTCAAACAAGAGGCTGGACACTTCTGTGAAATCCGAGTTTACTGTCTTGTATCACTTTTTCAAAGTTATTGGGAAAAAGGCTTCTGAATTTAAAGCGTGACATAAAAATACAATCCGATAACCTTCAACCAACTAAACAGAAAAAATTCTTTTTGAAGCTACATCAATCCCTAACTTGTCGTCACAGATGTATTTGTCACGAACAATCGTCAAAATAATAAAATCAAATGCCTTTTTTCAAAGCAACGGTTTGTTCGCGCAGTGGTTTCTACACATAAAGTTCTGGAGCAAAATTCCCTCAATTAAATTCCCTCAATTTAAATAGCTTTGGAGCAAAATTCCCTAATTACCCAGCGAACAATTTTAAATAGCAGAACACACGCGACACTTGCAGCTGTGCGGGAGATGGTTGGTCAGACTACAAGCGTCCAGTGCAGTGTCACACTTGAAGTTATTCGTGTAGCTACTTGATAAGAAAAGTTCTCATATACGGATAGGATACAAGATAGTGCAGTTGTTCAGAACTGGGGTTTGATAATCTAAAATGAACCTAAGTCTACATGCTACTTGAAATTTAGGCTTTTAGTAAGTCTACAAGTATTTAGTAAGGCTTACTTGGCCTTACTTACTTACGCTTACTTGACGTAAGCCTAACTTACGCTTACGTAAGGCTTACTTGGCCTTAAGTATTTAGTAAGGCTTACTTGGCCTATTTAGGCCAAGTAAGTTTACATGCTACTTGAAATTTAGGCTTTAAAGTGTAAACCGTACAGTGCTTCCCGTCCGAGAGAACAGAGTCGGGCGTGTGAATGTAAGAGACGACTTACGAGCCGCGCGACCTTGGCAGATTTGACAGCTGCAAACGACGTCGTGACGTAAGCTCTACATCACTACATGGTAACGCTGTTGTTGCTACGAGTCTTGTACTGCATGTGCATGCTACGAGATTATATTACGTGAGTAGCAATCTTGCTTTTGGTTCACACATAATATAAAAAATTTTATTTTTGACTACAAAATATTTTAATTACTTATTAATATGATATAATAGTATGTAATATACAGGGTTATTTTAAATGATGGATCCAATTTAACAAATTCGTAATTATTTGCGTATAAATTCAAAAGGAATAATTTATACACCAATGGAAAGAAAAAGATTAAAAACTTTTTTACACATTTATAAATGTTGAATATGACATTTACCCCTGTCTCTTATACACATCTAGATGTGTATAAGAGACAGGAGTACGAATGACCTACACAGTAAGGCTACACTATATGCATTTGCATTAAGTGCATCACCTTTTGTACCAATTTTCACACGCATTATTCTCTTAATTAATAAATAGACTGACCGAAAAAGACCATGGCGTTGAGCCAGCCCTTGTCCTGCGAAGACATATGAAGGTCGCACTGCGCGGCAGGCAGCAGCAGCGACACGCACAGCAGCTCGATGGCATCGCTGGCGTTGGCAAGTCCGCCCACCAGCACCACCGTGTAGTGGAACTTGCCGAACCCTGACCGGAAAATATTTCCTCAACTTCACTGTTACGCCATCAAGTGTAACGTTTTCAATGACTTGGTGAAGCTAAACAATTAAAATAAGCACTGTTTTTATCTGCTTCTAATATCATCCTTACGGACCAGGCAATAAGTCCAGTAGCTATCTCAATCAATCGTCAGTTATGGAAAGATCGGGTNAGGACGTAAACAGAGTTGCTGGTAGAGGCGGGACGTAAACAGAGTTGCTGGTAGAGGCGGGACTTAATCAGCTTCCTTGGCGTAACCCCACAAGAAATAGTCACATGGGGTGAGATCAGGTGATCTCGGTGGCCAGAAGTGAAGAGCAAGATCTTCATTTCCTATGCTTCCTATTCAACGCTCAGGTAGTGACTGAAAACGTCCAGGACATCGAAATGCCAACAGCACAATTCGGCGTTTGAATGTGTTTATAAACTAAATATTTTTCATTTAAACTCGATTAAATACGAATTTATTGAATTGCGTCCATCAAGGTTGACGGGCAGGGTGGCCCAATGCTTACAGTTCAGAGTACCAAGATTAGCGCAGAGTCGCGGGTTCGATCTCAGCTCTGTGCGCCAGTTTCTGGTCAGAATCGGCGAGGAGGCCGAGCAGTTAAGCACAGTAGAATTGGAGCAGTGAGTTGCGAGTTCGAGCCCGCAACAAGCTGTGAATGTTCTGCGATGTCACGAATCGGCGACAGGCCTACGGCCTAATAAACGCTGAAACCGCTATTATTATTTAGAATATCCCGGTATAATAGTATAGTATATCAGTATATTATCCCTTTACGCCCTGAATTTCTGGGACAAAAATTGTAAAATTCACTTTTTCGGTTTTAGGTCTCACTTCGAAGCTGACATTCTGACCTATCCAATGGTACCAAAATCATCTCTGTACGTTGATTTATGCCTTGACGACAGTTCGTGAAGGTGTTAGGGTGGGGGAGTTCTTTCACATTTAATATAGACGGAAATTACTGGTTGGGCTCATAAATATGCAACCTGAAGACGCTGATCTTTAGTTACCCGGGTGCTGTCGTGCATGTGGGATGGTGCTCATGCAGTCGTTCCCACTATCCTTGACTGAATTTCGGCTCCAGTAATGTCTAGTCTTGCATCCATGTCACCTTGAATGCTTAAAATGTTGAAGCACTCACCGTCACTGTCGCTGCTCTGACAGACCTCTTCATATTGACGATGGTTGTTGCGCTCCATATTGTCCAAAGAGTTTCTCGGTCACGCCAGCCTAATAGTCACAACAAATGTCCACCCAGTGTTGCGCAATGGCCAGACCTAATGTTTCGTTTTCATATTTCACACATCACAATCAAGCAAATGATGACGGCAAGTGTCACCACTAAACAGATGAAGAATCCATCATGATTAGAGACCCTCAAAAATACGCGTCTGTATAGATTGGCAGCGCGCGGGCAAAGTAAAGTGAGACCAAAAGCTGTAATTACAGAGAAATTTATCAATGGGACTTGGGACAATGTTTAAATTATATTTTAAGATACGGAAAAATATTTTTAGTGCAGATTTTTAACGACATTTTTGCAATTATTATTTAATGTTGATAAATTGAGCGGCTGTTCTAGCGGAAGTCAGTAGGTATATATTCCACGGTTAATTACAAGTTAATTCGCTTGTTATTGTGACAAAAAGAAATTAGAATATAGCTCAATCGGGCTAGGAAAATGTAAAACAAATTCTATCTCATGAAGAAATCGTACAATTATTTACCTGGTCTTTAACGAAAGGCGCGGTAGAAACAATTAAGGTTGACCAGTAATTAAATTAATTGAATTATCTGCTAGTTTCGGTTAACATCTTTTATCTGCGAGAAGAAGACCCAAAACAATGAGCGTCGCACAGCAGCTTCGGAGGCAAGAGGCGCTAGTCTCTTCGGTACCCTGAAGCTGACATTTGTTTTTGATACTAAGTAATTAATTAAATTGAGAACAAGAGAAGAATGTGAGGCTTGTGAATTGAATGCATCCCAAAACAAATTTAAAACTTCATGGAAGAAAGTTTACTATGAAATGAGTTAGACTCCTTGATATCAAATGAGAACTAAAAACGACATGTCGGGATGGATTTATTTTTGAAATAACTGCAGCGAATAAGCAACTCTAAAATAATTAACTATGAAACACCGTTTTGTCCTACAGAAAATTAAAATGATAAAGATTACTATATAGAGGTTTTAGACCCTTCATTTTGATCAGACAGCTTCAGGCTACCGCCGTAACCAAGTGTGAAAAAATTACATAAAAACCCGAGTGTGAAAAAAATTACATAAAAACCCGAGTGTGAAAAAAATTACATAAAAACCCGAGTGTGAAAAAAATTACATAAAAACTCAATTTAGCACAGGCAATGGGATCATTGGGATACAAAAGGTGACCGGCAAAATGTTGTGAATACATACTAATTTCAGACAAAATATGCTATTGGAGAGCGTCAAGAACAAAAGAATTAGTTGGAAGAATTAGTTCTAGTCTCGAGTGTGACTGATTGGGACTAGACTAATTGCATTAAGATGGTAACTAGAATCAAACAAACTATGATTTTGATATATCGGGAAATAAAAACATACATTTTTCTTGATATCGTGTTATTCATCGTAAATGGCAGGAAAAGCCAGGGCCATACAGAGCGCGGCAGCCTGGCTGTGCTGATCATAGCTGTTCAATAACCTAAATCGCTGCGACACGTGGGGCGGCACAGAGATGCCACACCCACCCTCGCCCCACAGGTACCCAGGGGGACCTCCGGTCTGCAGAAGAGCGAGCAGCACACGCAAGCCATACCAGCGGTCATGCCCTTTCTGGAAATAGAACATGTGCATCGTGGCCTCTGAGCTAAGTTATAAGTTAAATAGCCGAGTTAAGCTAAAGTTGACTTAGACCTGTTAAGACCCGTGGACTAAGTTATAACTCAGTCCCGTGGACTAAGTTATAACTCAGACCCGTGGACTAAGTTATAACTCAGACCTGTGGACCCATTCACAACCATAACAATGGACAATGCTTAGCTATTGTTCATTGTTATGGGTGTGAAAATACCAGAATAGATGCTAAGTTCATGAAGCACTAATTAATGCTAGTTAATCAAAAAGAAACGACTTGATCAGCAGTAGGATATAGTTGTTGGAAGTTCATTACAGAGAGTGGATCATTTTTTGAAGCAAATTTATGTTTTGTGATACTTTTGGGAAGACAAATTTAAATTACCAGATAAATGCCGAAACAATGGGCTCTTCTTCTGATTTAAATCAATAATAAAAATGCAATCTTAGTGTACTCCTTCCAGTCAATGATGGTAAATTAAAAATGTTTTCATGATATTTTGCCCTACCAGGAGCATACCTGTAAATGGATTGATCTTGTGATTCGAGATTCCTTGACAAAATAAACTCCACTGGTCCTTGAAGAGCTTGCATATTTTCCATATAGGGAGTTTTGGAGGCTATTGGACACACTCGTCCCTGTCAAGGATTTTCTGTTTAGAAGTACAGTTAGGAGGCCAGTAACCTGTTGAATAAGCATATAAGTATTACAATGCAATTTCCAAACCTTATTCATTAAATATATATACAACAATAACATCTATGGTCCTAGGTAATCACACATTTTATGCAAATTCCCTTCCCTAAAGCTATTATTCAATAAAAAATTAAAAAAGTGTTTGTCATATATTGCTATAATTTATAGAGCAAGTATGATTAATCTTGACATAGCTCAAGAAAGCTAACCTGATATAGGTCAAGTTCTTTTCAGGCCTCAATCATTAGTATAAAAATATAATTCAGTACTCACTGCAGTGAGTGACAGAGCGCATTTTCTCGTCGACGAAAACTTGAGGTCACGGACAGACGGACGGACAGACGGACAGACAGACAGACAGACAGAGACGGACATGGCAAGCACAATAGTGCATTTTTTCCATATATGAGAAAATGCGCTAAAAAGGCTACTTTAACCTCAAAGATTTCAACATTGATCAGATCAATGAAACCTACATGAGCAGTGGCATAAGCAGTTGATTGCCGTTCACTAGCTGGTCCACTCTGCTGGGCACTAGGTCTTTCTGATAAAATGTACACATTGCTGGCGGGAATTTGGTCCATAATTGACTGTACCTGAGAATAAACAACATAGAATATCATACTGTAGTTTCATAGAATCTTAAAAACACAAACAGCCTTTGCAAATTAATAACAAGACTCCAAATAATGGTATGGTAAGGCAATGACAAGTTTGAGGAGCGGAAAACATAAGTCTACATATATCAGGTAGTTTAACAAGAACACATGTGGGAACACTCTAAGATACTACTGACCTCTGCTAAAAGATCTACTACATCAATCCTGGACTCAAATATTTTCTTGCAATCAATTGTCCCAACACTCCAAAGATTTGGATGTGTAATTCCAGCACTGTTTGCAGTATGTCCTTGATCTTCAGGGTGAGAGGTAATTTTTGTTAAAATATTGGTACAAGTATTTTGATTGTAGTGATCTTGCTCATGTTTGACCTTCTCCAGCTGGCACCATGCCACGTGATGATTTTTTATTGCTATTCCTACAACATTTGTGATTTCCTGCAGAGATGAAAAAGTAAGAATTATATCATAATATAGTATTTTTAATAATACTAATATTTAAGCTCTGCAAGTGTTCTTACTGAAATTAATCAGCCTCAACTATGAAACTTTAAGTAATTGATAATTATTTGCAAATTGGAGCAAAATCAAAATAAATATAATGCAACAAATGATCATAAAAGTAAGATGCAAGATGTCATTATTTCACAAGTCATGATATACGGATCTCAATGGAAAAAATAATTTAAAAACTGTACACTAAGTCACTTGCGTTAGGTATATCAGAATTAAAACGGTCAATGGCAAACCTGATGGTCAGAAATTCTAGGCTGGATCATCCGTTTGGTCATCCTTGTAGTTAACTTTGGTTGGATTGAAGATGCTTCTTTACCCCCCAATATGCACTGGCAGATGAATTCAATTTTTTTCAACCCAATTCCATCAACAAGGATAAGATCTTTCAGATCAGTAAATTTTTCTCTTTTCTTTCTAGCAGCCAACAGCTTCAAAGTAGCTGATTTTGATATTTTATAGAGCAGAAGTTGCTCCTCATTGGCAGTATTGATGGTTTCCAAAACATATTGCTTGTCTTCATTTGAGAGTGGGACACGATAGTTGCGGAGATCATAGTGGCCGTCTGGTAGATCCTCAAAGTTTGAGCTGAATCTCTGAAAAAATTGTTATAAAAGTTTAGTCCTGATGTAATATTACTAAATCTCTGAAAAAATTGTTATAAAAATTTAGTCCTGATGAAATATGACATTAAACTTAAATTTTTGCTTCCTGGTTGTATTTTGATACAAGACTAAGTGTGATTGTTGATGAACACAAAAAAATAAATGTCTTGTACAAAATAAAATTTGAGCACCAGTGTGTGGGAGCATGATTTTATGCAATGGTAATCCATGCCTGGCATGGCTATGCACTGTCTGGAACAAAAAATGTATTGTCAGGAACAAAAATGTACTATGGAACAAAACTATGTCAGGAACCAATGTACTGTCAGGAACAAAAAATTTACTTCTCAAAGAATTATGGCATGCAGCATGGATCGAGAAAATGTCAATGTAAATTCCAATGCAGCGGGACTTAGGAGCTTCTATTAATCACACTATGGTCAAAAACATATTGCAGTGAGTCAGAGGCAATGCAAAATAAAATCTTTTCTGCAAAAAATCTGGTTAATTTGATATATTTTTCTTTTGCTAATACATATTTTCAAATATATTTGCTTTGTCAAATTTTGGATGAGACATTCATTAAGAAATGCGTCATATAAGTTTGAACTTTGAATTCATTTTCTGTTTTGCTTTGTGTTTTCTACTGATACAAAGAACCAACAAGTTCTCTCCTTGACTAATTTAGACGAATATCAATAGATAGCTGATTTACAAGATAATTTAAAGGGATAAATACTACCTACTGAATGATAGTAGTTACTAATACATGTATGTGTATAGTTGCATGGATAGGATCAGGATAGCAAAGTTTTATTCTTTTCAATACAGTAGTCTTAACATCACACAATTTTGGCAGGTTTGAAATCTCAGAGCTTCAAAGTTAAGTACCGTATTCTTATTTAATTGAAAATTTTGCAGTTTGCAAATGTGTAGTGTCATTTTAGGATAAACTGCACTTTGGCAGTTCAGTACCATTCCCACTCAAGCTAAAATATCCTGCACACAGCATAATGACGGCACCCAAAATGTTTTGTTGATGATTGCATAATTATTGTCAAGACCGACTACAACTGGATCTCAAAAAACCTCTATGGTACCTACCTATCAAGCTGTGACAAGAGCTTTCTAGCCATTTTTGGAACCATGAGATTCCCACAATATGAATTAAACACCTCCTATCCAATTGTTAACAAAAAAGCACAATCAAGCCATGAGATTCGAAATGTTGTGAAAATTTGGTGAAGAGGCTGGTGATGCGTCACTTGATGTCACCAGACTCTTCACCAACGTCCCAACTGAAGAAATATTAGAAATCATTGCAAAGCATGTATATTCTCATCCAACTTTGTTGGCTCCACCAATAGCTAAGAAAATTCTCCTCAATCTCCTTTGACTCTGCAATTCCGAATCACCTTTCTAGACTCCCAACTACAAAATTTTTACCAACAAACCAATGGCGTAGCCATGGGCTGTCCTCTTGGTCCTACTTTTGCTGAGTACTATCTGTGCAAAATCGAAAATCAAGTACTTTCAGATGAGCAGGTCAAGCCCGAATTGTACTGCAGGTATGTTGATGATATCTTTGTTGTCATTCAAGGTGAAGAACAACTGAGGAACCTACAAATGGCCTTCGAAATGAATTCTGTCTTAAAGTTTACCTACCAACGAGCTTGGAGAAAATTGTACTTTGCCTTTTTTAGATATAGTCCTACAAGCTAGAAATAATTTTTTCATCACCAAAGTATACCAGAAACCCACAGATGTTGGGAGAGTCCTGAACACCACCAGCGAATGCCCAGAGTGCAACAAAAAAAGCGCAATACATGCTCTCATCCAACAAGCTCTCAAAACCTGCTCATATGAAAATGACTTAAATACAGAGCTGAGAAACTGCAAAAGAATCTTAGTCAATAATGGATTTGCCAATAGAACAATCAACGCAGAAATCTCAAAACTTTGATTGAACCAAAACAGACGCAACAACAAACCAGAGACTGATGCAAACATCACAACCATCTACAATGAGAATCAAATGACCAGCAGTTATAAAACAGATGAACAAATCCTCCAATCCATTGTTGACAACATCATGAACACAACTAACAATAAAATCAAACTACTGATCTATTATAAAAACAAGAAAATACAGAATCTTGTAATGAACAATAACCCCTGCAAAAAACGCAAGTTTTCCAAGAGACCAATGTAGTCTATAAATTTTCCTGCAATAGAGAAGATTGTAGACATCTCCCTAATATGGACTACATTGGGCTCACAAGTACGACATTAAGCCGATGTCTCAAGTGCCACCTTCAGTCTGGTGGACCAAGGAACCACCTGATGGAAACCCACAACAAGACAATCACCCACACAGTGCTGGACGAGTGCACCAGCATCGTCATGCGATGCCCCGATGCCAACCGACTCGCGATAGCTGAGGCCCTCATCATTGAGGATAGGACCCCAGCCATCAAACTACAAGCTGCTGGATTTGTCAGAACCTTGAGACTGTTTTCACAGTAGTTTTCGGTGTTTTGATTTCTGTTTATCTTAATATTTCTGTGACTAGGTATCATTTCTAACCAATTTTATTTTTTGAGTAGTATCCTATTTACATGATTTTGTACATATGTTGACCTAAATTTCGTAACTCAACGTGCTTTTTAACTTGATAGTGAATGATTGAAACATTCAAAACGTCATTAACAAAATAAAAATGTCCATTGGTACTTTGATTTTTGATTTACTGTGCAAACAAAAAATATTGTTTGATATGTTGAAAAAACTAATATAAAAATCATCAATAAAACAAATTCTCTGGTTACAAGTGAAATTCATCACTTGAAATGAGAATTTTCAGGTAAAATGTGAAAAGTCTAACTGAAAAGTTTTCTAGGAGCTACATCCATAAAGAAATTAATATAGAATAAAAATACTTTACAACAAGTTTTTTTGTTGATATTAAACAATAACAAGTAATAGTACTTACAAATTTTATAAAATTTAATAAGAATTAAAGCATATTTTAAGTCAAGGATGGCCCACAAAATGTTTCTAAAAATAATTATTTTCTGACATATGGCGTGTGACGTCACACACAATATGTTGCAGTGCAAATATGTTGCATGTGTGAAGTCACCACAAGGTCCGTTCTTCAACTCTTTACTTGGCTTTAAGCTGGCAAACATGGTGCCAAGTCATTCACTTTTATAAATATTGTGAATATTTTTCAATGTGATATTGTAAATATTTTTGATTGTGGATCTTTTTCAATTGTGAATCTTTCTGATTGTGAATATTTTCAATTCTAATATTGAAATATTAGAATTGAATACTCAAATCTTGAGGATTCTAACATCTTGTGATGCATGAAGCTTGATATGTGAGCAAAGGAGTGAAGTGTCATTGAGTTTGAGTTGAAGTCATACCGGTAGATCTGCAACCTACAAAAGTAGATCACTGTTATTTTGTCAGTCATTGTTGGCATTTTGCAACCTACATTTCTAAGTAAGTAAGATATTTTACTATTGAATTTTTTATTTTTAAATTTATTTTCTGGATGGCGATTTATGTACATGGTATTGCATAGGAGTAAGTTGTATTGTATTGACTGCAAGAAAATGATAACTAGCTCTGTCTTACTACATCGACAGTTGACACTTATAAAGTTACACTTCATCCTAGATATGACAATTCAAAAATAATTAAATTTCAAAGTAGTATTTATTTGAAGTTAACTTTACATTTAATACAAGACTTTTAAGTAACTATTTTTCTTTGATGAAAAATTAAATTAGTCAATTTCCTAACTTCAGTTGATCAAAAATCCTGTCTATTCAATCTACTGTCACTAGCTCCCCTCCAAAAAACTGGGTCTTAGTTTTTTTAAGAAAGACAAAAATCCATGTGCCCTTTGCCAAGACCAAAAAATACTGCCAATCCTATAATTGCATTATGCTCAGAACCATGACTAGATTTTTTTAGCTGTGAATACCGTACCCAGGGCATGAAAATCCATTTAGGAGCCGCTATCTTATTTGCAAAGTACCATGCAGGTGTGATCGCAAATCTCTAATTTTACCCTAGAAATAACAAGATAATTTGTCTCTTTAGTTTAGGAATTAGAGGTAACTGAACATGCAATTATGAATAGTTAACATTTTTGTTCATGAATAAAAGCAATTATAATGCAGTCTGACGTGAGTGCAATAAAGCAATCTCCAACAAAATATTTGGGTTGACTCATTAAATAGGATATTATGGCAAGTACAGCAAACTGAGCAAAAGTTGAAAATTTTGTGAAATGACACATTTTTGGACCACAATTTCTTCAATCAAACAAGAATACATCACATTAGAGCCACAAGATTTAATACTTACTAAAATTATATGACATTAGAGCTGCAATATGTTAGAAAAAAGTAGGACTTTGCCAACTAGCACCCACCTTGGCAACCTGCAGTCTAAGTCTCAACCAAAAAGTTTTATTTTACTTTGAATAGGTAGCCTATAACAAGAGCTTTTTAATGGTGCTAAAATCTTTAAAATTGCCTTAAAAGGAGACTTAGAAATGGTAATTTGGAAACCTAGAAATTAAATAAATGAAAATAGTTATAGCTTTTTCACTTTCATTTGTACTCCACTAAAAGTCCACTTGAATTTATATGCCATTCTTCTGGATTTTTTCTCTTTTCAGATGCATATTTTTAATATGATCAAAATGAGAAAATTGTTTTTGTGCAACTACATACGGTAGTGATTAACCAGAGATTTTTTCATAGTCAATTTATTTTCAATTTTCTAATTTACTCAAGATTTGAACCAATTTCTTATATAGGGGTAAATGCGGTATATTTTGACACATTAAGGACGTAGGTAGCAGGAAATGAACAGCTATAAAAATATCACCGTATGCGCAACTCAAGTTCTGTGTGCTTTACGTCACTCTCAAAACACCACACTAGGCACCAGCAATGATGAAACGTTACAAACTGTTGCCATATTTATTTAAAAGCCTTTAGAATTCAAACCTACAAGATCCCTGAATTTTGACACTGTGTGTGACTAAATTTGGCATATTGTGAGACTAATTCCAGCAGCGCTTCAAACTCTATTAATTTGTAATTCCGATGCCCTGTGTTGGAATTCCGACAACCTGTGTGAGCTGTATCAGAATACAACACAGCTCAGAATGAGCTTAGTTAAAAAATTTTAATTTTTTAATTAATCTTTTAATTAAGAGCTATTAAGCTTTTAATTAAGAAAATTTTAATATTTGGACACAGCTCGGAATGAGCCGTGTGTGTCTAATTTCAAACTGTGACGGAATTAGTTTTTATGTGTCTAAAACTGTCTTTCAATTTAATCATCTATTAATTTATTTACCACTTGAAATCAGCAAATACAAGCATACATTAAGGATTCCTAATATATTCACAGACTTATTTAAAAGTCTCAAACCATAATATTCTTTCTACACAAACAGTTTATCACTATTTGGTAGAGCAAGGTCAACTATCAACTTTGACAAGTTTTTCGATGTTCACACTGGGTCATAGTGGCAAACCAGAGATTTTTAGAATCAGCTCATTTTTAATTTCTTCATTTAATCAAGATTTAAACCAATTTCTTATGTATGATAATGCTGGTATCCAAGATACTTTACTGCTCCACTTATAGGACTCAAAATTGAACTTGAGGGAGAGTCTAAAAAAACTTTCTGTTTAGTCATTATGCACTGGGTGACGTGCATTGTCTCTCTTTGGATCTTAACATTTTCCCGCCAGATGGCCCAGACCTAGTGTTTTGGCAATAGTATGGCGCACAATAGTATGACGTCACTATTTCAACCATCAACAAATGCGTGGAACTAAGACAAAGCTTAATATAAAGGAAAAAGTTGAGAAGTGTTGGAAATACCCACGATGTTGGAATATACTGCGTATGCCCTAGGATATTTCTGGTAATCCATGATACTTTACTGATCTACTTATAGGACTCAAAAATGAACTTAAGAGAGAGTCAAAAAATCTCTCTGCTTTGCCACTATAATTAAAGACATATACATATCAAAACATGGTGCAATTCTATAGGTTATTCAAAGGAACCTGGTCTTATGACATTTTGAACCGATCACGCTTCTTTACGGACCAATCACAGCACCGCGGTAACACACCTTCCCTGGCAAAAGCTTTCTTACTTCTGAAGGAAGGGGCGGTTCCACTGTCAGCTGAACTGCAGGCCTTATTTGAATTTGAACGCATGCATAGATTTGAAATCCTATGGGCATAGTATACGAGTCCTAAAGAGCCTAAATTTTTAATATCAATATAAAAAATGTACATTTCTGCATGGTTTATAATGCTGTTAACATTAACAAACTTTGAATTATCTCTGATGCAAGAAATACTTGCTTAAACAATTTTATTTTAAAAAAAGCAATCGGTTTGCAAAAACCAGGATTAAGAATAGCTCCCAATAACAGTAATTTCAATTGAAGTTCATTTCTAAATTAAAATTTATTTAGCCAGTATTTCTTGCATCAGACATACTTTCAAGTATTTCAATGTTAACAGCATTAACATCCATGAAGAAACGTGAAATTTTATTAGGTTTTAGGCTAAAACTTACGCTCCTAGTCCAAAGAACTGAAACCAAGCTTACGATTTTAAATGAAAAATCCCCAACGAATGGCGCTTCTGGTAGCTTCTGGCAGCTTCGGTAGGTACAAAACTAATAAAAGTATCTAGACTTATTGATTGCTAATTTCTTGCATTGGGTAAATCATTATGATTTAATTTCATCATAGAAGTTGTATCTCATATTTCCATGTTGAATTAATATTTCCCATGTACAAAAGCTTCTAATGAGAAACGCTTCAAAGTTTAGAAAAATGTGGTGGGTGACAGCATTTGATCCTATTACATGTGACTTATGAAGTTAACATTATCAAACATGGCATGCTTTTTATTATACTAAAATTTATACAATTGTCTACTGATTTCAACTTAATTACGATTTTGCATGTTTTTCTTTGTGATATGGAATTTTTCCCACACACAAAAGCCAGCAGCCAGATTGTTCAGGTACCAAATGTGACAAACAGTTAAAAAAATTATTAAATGTAGAAACTATTTTAAAGGTTTGATCATGTACATTTTTTTTAAAATATTAATTTATCTAATAGGAGAACAATAATTCAGTTGTATAACCTTTAAATAACGTCACTTTTAAAAGTTATTACTAAAAATNCTGTTTGTATAGGAAGAATATTATGGTTTGAGACTTTTAAATATGTCTGTGAATATATTAGGAATCCTTTAAGTATACTTGTATTTGCTGATTTCAAGTGGTAAATAAATTAATAGATGATTAAGTTGAGAAATGGATTTAGACACATGAAAACTAATTCCATGATTCCATCACAACTTGAATTGGACACACACAGATCGTTCCAAGCTATGTACAAAAATTAAAATTTGCTTAATTAAAAGCTTAATAGTTTTTAATTAAAAGCGTCATTAGGTAGTGTTCAATATTCATTAGTGTTCTAATTCAAAGCCGTGTTGTATTCCAATACAGCTCACACAGCGAACGGAATTTGAACACGTGGATGACGGCATTACGTATCAGTAGAATTTGAAGCATGGACGGTACACGCCTCACCACGTGCCAAATATTGCCATACACAGTGTCAGAATATAGGGATTTGGTAGGGTTACATTCTAAAGGCTTTTAAATAAATATGGCAATATTTTGTGATGTTTCATCGTTGCTGGGGCGTAGTACGGTGTTTTGCAAGTCACATAAAGCAAACAGAACTTGAGTAATGCATACGGTTATTTTTTTTATAGTTTTTCATTTCTCGATGCGTCCTTACACACAGTGTCAGAATATAGGGATTACACAGTGTCAGAATATAGGGATTTGGTAGGGTTACATTCTAAAGGCTTTTAAATAAATATGGCAATATTTTGTGATGTTTCATCGTTGCTGGTGTGTAGTACGGTGTTTTGCAAGTCACATAAAGCAAACAGAACTTGAGTAATGCATACGGTTATTCTTTTTTATAGTTTTTCATTTCTCGATGCGTCCTTAATATGTCGGAATATACTGCGTTTACCCCATAGTGACAAACCAGAGATTTTTTAGAATCAGTTCATTTTTAATTTCCTCATTTACCCAAGATTTAAACCAATTTCTTACGTATGATAATGCTGGTATCCAGGATACTTTACTGGTCTACTTATAGGACTCAAAAATGAACTTGAGGGCAGTGTGGAATTCTAGAGGGATATTAAATTAACCAGTACACATAGCATATTGGAAATCAGGACCTGAAAGATTGGAAAGTCCAGGAACTTTCCACTTCCAGTCCATTTTATTATATACATTACGGTATACATATCCTATCACTTTTCAACTGTGATTGGTTTATGGGATTGTGATTTTAGCCCCTTCCAGCTTTCCAGCTGTGATTGGTTAATGGAGTTGTAATGTTATCTGCTTTCTAGCTGTGATTGGTTGCTGGGGGATGCTTTCAAGCTGTGATTGGCTGATGGGGATGCTTTCCAGCTGTGATTGGTTGTGCCCATAAGCCCCGCCCCCAAATATGGTATATGTACTACAGTACTGGTTAACTACTTACCTACTTAACTTAAACTTGATCATTACAAACAAAAAGCCTAGAAAATTTTCAAAAAATCCATTAAATAAAAGAAAAATAGAGAATATCTATCAAACAAGAGACATTCAAACAATTTTATAACAAATCTGAGATACTATACAACTGAATTAGTTTGTCCACTGTTGATCCTCCTTTTCATTTATAGTCAGTCACCTGGCAGAGCACAGTATCTAAGGAAAGCATTCCACCTTGGGTGGAAAGATTTTTTATAAGTGAACCTCCATTTCTAGAATTCCACCCTGCAGTTGAGGGAGAGTCTAAAAAACTCTCTGCTTTGCCACTATGGTTTACCCTACTTATTTTTTAATTTTTTTGTTGGTGTCGTGACTGTTATTATTATTATTATTATTCCACGAAGAGATTGTCGTGGCGTCTCGTTCAGATCGAACTTCGAGGGCACGTTACAAGCGGCTAAAAAACACAAGATGACAAAAACAGATAACATCTATGCTAAAACAGAGGACATATGCCAAGACTGATGACGTCTATACTAGAACAAATAACATCTATGCTAAACCAGTAATATCCATGATAAATTAGATAACGGCTAGGCCTAAGATTCAAAGGCTCTACGGAAAAGTTCTGTTTTTAGGCGTCGACGAAACAACGTCAGCGAAGAAGCAGATGTCACCGATGCTGGCAGACCATTCCATGTTCTGGCCGCAGCGACCGGGAACGCTCTGTCGCCGACGGTGGACAGACGTGAGGACGGGACGACGAGGTCAGCCTTCGACGAGGAACGCAGTCGCCTTCTAGAAGGCAGATCCGACACGCGC